TTTATTTATCGGCTGGTGGGCCAACCAAAACTTTAAATCGATTTATCTCCGTTAATATGGCTCTAATCGCGAAAAGAGGGGTGTTCAGATGCTCGAATTTTTTATATCCGGATTTCCCAGTATAAAATATTCCAAAATCCTTCATTTATCGGCTGGTGGGCCAACCAAAATTTTAAATCGATTTATCTCCGTAAATATGGCTCTAATCGCGAAAAGAGGGGTGTTCAGATGCTCGAAATTTTTATATCCGGATTTCCCAGTATAAAATATTCCAAAATCCTTCATTTATTGGCTGGTGGGCCAACCAAAACTTTAAATCGATTTATCTCCGTAAATATGGCTCTTATCGCGAAAAGAGGGGTGTTCAGATGCTCGAAATTTTTAAATCTGGATTTCCCAGTATAAAATATTCCAAAATCCTTTATTTATCGGCTGGTGGCCCAACCAAAACTTTAAATCGATTTATCTCCGTAAATATGGCTCTAATCGCGAAAAGAGCGGTGTTCAGATGCTCGAAATTTTTATATCCGGATTTCCCAGTATAAAATATTCCAAAATCCTTTATTTATCGGCTGGTGGCCCAACCAAAACTTTAAATCGATTTATCTCCGTAAATATGGCTCTAATCGCGAAAAGAGGGGTGTTCAGATGCTCGAAATTTTTATATCCGGATTTCACAGTATAAAATATTCCAAAATCCTTTATTAATCGGCTGTTGGGCCAACCAAAACTTTAAATCGATTTATCTCCGTAAATATGGCTCTTATCGCGAAAAGAGGGGTGTTCAGATGCTCGAAATTTTTATATCCAGATTTCCCAGTATAAAAGATTTAAAAATCCTTTATTTATCGGCTGGTGGGCCAACCAAAACTTTAAATCGATTTATCTCCGTTAATATGGCTCTAATCGCGAAAAGAGGGGTGTTCAGATGCTCGAATTTTTTATATCCGGATTTCCCAGTATAAAATATTCCAAAATCCTTCATTTATCGGCTGGTGGGCCAACCAAAACTTTAAATCGATTTATCTCCATAAATATGGCTCTAATCGCGAAAAGAGGGGTGTTCAGATGCTCGAAATTTTTATATCCGGATTTCCCAGTATAAAAGATTTAAAAATCCTTTATTTATCGGCTGGTGGGCCAACCAAAACTTTAAATCGATTTATCTCCGTTAATATGGCTCTAATCGCGAAAAGAGGGGTGTTCAGATGCTCGAATTTTTTATATCCGGATTTCCCAGTATAAAATATTCCAAAATCCTTCATTTATCGGCTGGTGGGCCAACCAAAATTTTAAATCGATTTATCTCCGTAAATATGGCTCTAATCGCGAAAAGAGGGGTGTTCAGATGCTCGAAATTTTTATATCCGGATTTCCCAGTATAAAATATTCCAAAATCCTTCATTTATTGGCTGGTGGGCCAACCAAAACTTTAAATCGATTTATCTCCGTAAATATGGCTCTTATCGCGAAAAGAGGGGTGTTCAGATGCTCGAAATTTTTAAATCTGGATTTCCCAGTATAAAATATTCCAAAATCCTTTATTTATCGGCTGGTGGCCCAACCAAAACTTTAAATCGATTTATCTCCGTAAATATGGCTCTAATCGCGAAAAGAGCGGTGTTCAGATGCTCGAAATTTTTATATCCGGATTTCCCAGTATAAAATATTCCAAAATCCTTTATTTATCGGCTGGTGGCCCAACCAAAACTTTAAATCGATTTATCTCCGTAAATATGGCTCTAATCGCGAAAAGAGGGGTGTTCAGATGCTCGAAATTTTTATATCCGGATTTCACAGTATAAAATATTCCAAAATCCTTTATTAATCGGCTGTTGGGCCAACCAAAACTTTAAATCGATTTATCTCCGTAAATATGGCTCTTATCGCGAAAAGAGGGGTGTTCAGATGCTCGAAATTTTTATATCCAGATTTCCCAGTATAAAAGATTTAAAAATCCTTTATTTATCGGCTGGTGGGCCAACCAAAACTTTAAATCGATTTATCTCCGTTAATATGGCTCTAATCGCGAAAAGAGGGGTGTTCAGATGCTCGAATTTTTTATATCCGGATTTCCCAGTATAAAATATTCCAAAATCCTTCATTTATCGGCTGGTGGGCCAACCAAAATTTTAAATCGATTTATCTCCGTAAATATGGCTCTAATCGCGAAAAGAGGGGTGTTCAGATGCTCGAAATTTTTATATCCGGATTTCCCAGTATAAAATATTCCAAAATCCTTCATTTATTGGCTGGTGGGCCAACCAAAACTTTAAATCGATTTATCTCCGTAAATATGGCTCTAATCGCGAAAAGAGGGGTGTTCAGATGCTCGAAATTTTTATATCCGGATTCCCCAGTATAAAATATTCCAAAATCCTTCATTTATCGGCTGGTGGGCCAACCAAAACTTTAAATCGATTTATCTCCGTAAATATGGCTCTAATCGCGAAAAGAGGGGTGTTCAGATGCTCGAAATTTTTATATTCGGATTTCCCTGAATAAAATATTCCAAAATCCTTTATTTATCGGCTGGTGGGCCAACCAAAACTTTAAATCGATTTATCTCCGTAAATATGGCTCTTATCGCGAAAAGAGGGGTGTTCAGATGCTCGAAATTTTTATATCCAGATTCCCCAGTATAAAATATTCCAAAATCCTTAATTTATCGGCTGGTGGGCCAACCAAAACTTTAAATCGATTTATCTCCGTAAATATGGCTCTAATCGCGAAAAGAGGGGTGTTCAGATGCTCGAAATTTTTATATTCGGATTTCCCTGAATTAAATATTCCAAAATCCTTTATTTATCGGCTGGTGGGCCAACCAAAACTTTAAATCGATTTATCTCCATAAATATGGCTCTAATCGCGAAAAGAGGGGTGTTCAGATGCTCGAAATTTTTAAATCTGGATTTCCCAGTATAAAATATTCCAAAATCCTTTATTTATCGGCTGGTGGCCCAACCAAAACTTTAAATCGATTTATCTCCGTAAATATGGCTCTAATCGCGAAAAGAGCGGTGTTCAGATGCTCGAAATTTTTATATCCGGATTTCCCTGAATAAAATATTCCAAAATCCTTTAATTATCGGCTGGTGGGCCAACCAAAACTTTAAATCGATTTATCTCCGTAAATATGGCTCTAATCGCGAAAAGAGGGGTGTTCAGATGCTCGAAATTTTTATATCCGGATTTCACAGTATAAAATATTCCAAAATCCTTTATTAATCGGCTGTTGGGCCAACCAAAACTTTAAATCGATTTATCTCCGTAAATATGGCTCTAATCGCGAAAAGAGGGGTGTTCAGATGCTCGAAATTTTTATATTCGGATTTCCCTGAATAAAATATTCCAAAATCCTTTATTAATCGGCTGGTGGGCCAACCAAAACTTTAAATCGATTTATCTCCGTAAATATGGCTCTAATCGCGAAAAGAGGGGTGTTCAGATGCTCGAAATTTTTAAATCCGGATTTCCCAGTATAAAATATTCCAAAATCCTTCATTTATCGGCTGGTGGGCCAACCAAAACTTTAAATCGATTTATCTCCGTAAATATGGCTCTAATCGCGAAAAGAGGGGTGTTTAGATGCTCGAAATTTTTAAATCCGGATTTCCCAGTATAAAATATTCCAAAACCCTTTAATTATCGGCTGGTGGGCCAACCAAAACTTTAAATCGATTTATCTCCGTAAATATGGCGCTAATCGCGAAAAGAGGGGTGTTCAGATGCTCGAAATTTTTATATCCGGATTTCCCAGTATAAAATATTTAGAAATCCTTTATTTATCGGCTGGTGGGCCAACCAAAACTTTAAATCGATTTATCTCCATAAATATGGCTCTAATCGCGAAAAAAAGGGGTGTTCAGATGCTCGAAATTTTTATATCTGGATTTCACGGTATAAAATATTCCAAAATCCTTCATTTATCGGCTGGTGGGCCAACCAAAACTTTAAATCGATTTATCTCCGTAAATATGGCTCTAATCGCGAAAAGAGGGGTGTTCAGATGCTCGAAATTTTTAAATCCGGATTTCCCAGTATAAAATATTCCAAAATCCTTCATTTATCGGCTGGTGGGCCAACCAAAACTTTAAATCGATTTATCTCCGTAAATATGGCTCTAATCGCGAAAAGAGGGGTGTTTAGATGCTCGAAATTTTTAAATCCGGATTTCCCAGTATAAAATATTCCAAAATCCTTCATTTATTGGCTGGTGGGCCAACCAAAACTTTAAATCGATTTATCTCCGTAAATATGGCTCTTATCGCGAAAAGAGGGGTGTTCAGATGCTCGAAATTTTTAAATCTGGATTTCCCAGTATAAAATATTCCAAAATCCTTTATTTATCGGCTGGTGGCCCAACCAAAACTTTAAATCGATTTATCTCCGTAAATATGGCTCTAATCGCGAAAAGAGCGGTGTTCAGATGCTCGAAATTTTTATATCCGGATTTCCCAGTATAAAATATTCCAAAATCCTTTATTTATCGGCTGGTGGCCCAACCAAAACTTTAAATCGATTTGTTCAATGTTCTTTCTTCGTAAACTTGTTACTACGTTCATCACCATCAAGCCTTGCTGGAGGACAGAACGATACTTACTAGCTTAAAATCATAATATTTCCATTTACCCCTCACCCAACTCTGTTCCATTGGATTGATAAAAATGTCAGTTGAGCACCCGACAAATTGTTGTCTCCACGAACTACGACCTTAACGGCATATTATTTTCCTAATATCTATCTTATTAGCCAACATCTTCACCGACATTAACAGACAAAACTTCTACCTCCTATCCTATCACACAATATTTACACACGCCTTTGTTCAATAACCCTTATGGATGCTTCTGTTGGATTGCTCTCGAGGGAAAACAAGTAAAACAGACTACAATAAAACCCCACTAGATAACCTCAAAGCAGATGCTTAGTTGTCCGTAAGGTACGAATATGCCATAGAATACCAAATTTAATGCGGTTTTCCTATCGTTCGTTTGCAGGTAAAACCGAGAGCAAAATTAATTCCTATCAGCTCGGGAACATGTAGAACATCACCCACACACACAAAAAGCAACCCAAAAAGTCATGGAAGAAACCCGCCCCACCCGCAAGGACCTAAAAAAGACCCATGCCGACTCCTGGCCGAGTCGTGCGTCGCTTCCGGCGAGCCCAAAAATCATCAAAACCACCGAAGACGACCGGGAGGCCAATAGCATGTTCGACTATTGCCCATCGTCGTCGCATACCTCCTCCTCCGGCGTGCAGTACGAGTACGGTGCCATTAGTCCACGATTCGAACGTAAGAGCGGTCGAGTTTATAGAACCGTAACTAATTGCCCTGACTGATTGGTTAACCTTTTTTTTCAGACAAGCGCTTCGAGTACTGCTACCCGACTGTGTCCAAAGAGGACTCCTCCAATAGCATATCACTCGATAATCATGACATAGATCGTAAGAAGAAACGAATTTACCCCAGCAAAACGCCGGAAAACTCCCTCGAAAAGTAAGTACCAATTATCAAGCGGCTCCATATTTACGTATTTATGACGGTCGACTAACCGATAAACGCACTTCCAGTGAACCGATCCTGGACGGGTCGAACGCCAGCAGCAGTTCAAGGGCGGCCAAATCACCCAGCCATTCGCCTCGGCACTCTCACCGGCAGCTCAACAGTGAGATCAACATCACGTCCAATCCCGGCTATCAGGTAGAGTGAACCGTCCCCACATCGACCGCAAATGTACATTTTGTTACTCCGCCCCTCACGCCTTTACTGATGCGAGGGGCACGTTTTGTTGACAATCGAACTCTATAATAAACTCCCACACTACTAATGCACACATTTCCCGACGACAGGTCCTTCGCAACTCCCACTCGACGCTGGATCGCACGTGTTCGGACAGCGTGGTGTCGTTGAATTATCACAAATCGGCCAGCGATTTGACACAGACGACGGCAGAAGCGACGGCAATGACGACGATGGGACCCGTTCCGGGGAGAAAGGGCCGGCGGCGAAGCAGCCACAAGGGGGGTGGCCTTGCCTACCTGGCCAGCCGAAAGGGTTCGCGGGACTCGGTGAAAAGTGGGGCTTCCAATACGTCGGTGTTTTCCAACGAGGACGTTGGCCCGTTGGCATTCCAGGCTTCCGCCCGTGGTCGGCAACGGAGGACGTCCAACTTTTTGGAATTGCCCAGTAAGATAATACAAACAGTCAGTGTGACAGTCAAGCAAACGTTGGATCGTGATGTGGTTTGTGTGTGTGTTTTTTTTTTCTTTTGCGGATAATTGGCAGTCCCGGACCATGCGAGGCCCCGCGTCTGTTCCTTACCTGAGCGGCCGTACAATCCCAGGCAAAGTGATGACCTGTACCGGTTGAGGCACTTCTCCATCAGCAAGGGGACGGTGGTCAACTGCGGTGATTCCATCATCTCGCGGAGATCCAGGAGTAATACCAGCGTCAATTCCACTGCGAGTCGGTGAGTAGAGTTAAGGGCAGAAATTTGTCATGATTTTATGATTAATCGAAATTATTGAATAATCGAACTTTTTTGATCATTAATCTACAATGCAATTCGTTATCATTAATTATAATCTAACGGCAATAAGGATTCCTGACGGTACAAAAATTCAAATGCAAACTTTTGCCAATTTTGAATATTTTCGGAAAGACGCTTGTTTTACCCAATATTCAGAAATGACACAGTGGGCAAAATAGAGCCATAAAATGGATCTTATATTGGCCTTAAAAACTAGCTACTCTTATGTAAAAAATCACGACAAATCGGTTGCTGATTGTTTCATCGACGGCAGAAGAAGGAACGTGGCATATTTTGCCCAACTTAGCCAAAATGTACCATTAATCTGACTAAAGCCTTGTATAATGTAACGTTCATCAAATCTTGATGGAGAATTTAAATCATGAATCATCATGATCATCATGAATGATAAAACTACGATTAATGTCATGAAGTTGGCGACGAGGAGAATCTGAGAATGTTACTTAGGACCTAATCCATTGTAAGTTCACAAGAATGAGTGCCACGTCCGTCTTTCGAGAAAGATGATGAAGCAATAAAGTCAATCCTCGACGGTGGGGACTACAAAGGCGATAAAGTGGTTGCGGAGGGACTAACACGGCTCCAGATAGCGTCTCGACAGGTGTTTCCGAGTAGCGACGAGCAGGCAAACCAGTCCTGTGGATTCACCAACGCAGAGAATTTGGTCCGTCTACAGGATGCTCTGAAGGGGAAAGCATTGGATACGGTTCGAAATCGTCTGCTTTTGCCGGAGAACGTGCCGTTGATCATCGAGAAGCTGAGGAAGAGGTTCGGGAATCCGGAGATCCTGTCAACCAGATTGGCGACAAAGATCCAGCAGCTAGAGGGACCAATCTCGGAGAGTTTGGAGTCGGTGATCGAGTCCGGAAGTGCCGTCGAAGAGTTTACTCAGCATCTCAAAGCGGCCAGGCTGGTGGACCACTTGAAGAACCCAATTTTGATGCAGAGTCTAGTTCACACGGGTGACTCATCACCGTCTACGGGAAGGTCCGTCAATGGTCGAGAGTTGACGATGTTTTCAACCTACACCATCGCATTCTGCAACACTTCGTCGGTCGGTAGTCTGCTAGGTTGTACCTTAGCTAGGTTTTGCTTCACGCTACGGATCAGCCGTTCCCATGCTCACCCCATGTGTGGCGAAACCGGTGGAATAAATGTCCACTGGGTACGACTCGTAGTGAACTCGCTGGCCAGTCTGTTTTGATCGAGTAGCTCGATTGTCGCCTGAAAGTTGGTCCCACGGTCGCTGTAGATCACAGCAGGAACTCCTCTCCTAGCCATGACGTTTCGAATTGCCATTACGCAGGAGTCGGTGGTCAGTGTGTGAGCGATCTGCAAGTGGATGGCGCGTGTGGTCAGACAGGTCGCGAGAACCCCCCACCGTTTTTCAGAATGTCGGCCCACCGATACTAATATTGGACCGAAATAATCCACGCCCATGTAGGTGAAGGGACGACTGAATGTAGCCAGGCGTGACTGCGGAAGATCACCCATCATCGGAGGAAGTGGTTTTGCTAGGTCATTCTTGCACTGCTGACAGTCTTTCCGAACAGCGTTGTAGGTCGCTTTCAGCCGAGGAATGCGGTACCGTTGCAGGAGCTCGTTGACAATCGTTGCGTGGTTCTGGTGGTTGAACCACTCATGGGCCTCAGCTATGATTAGTCGGGTGACTTGATGACGACGAGGAAGAATAATGGGTTCAGCAGCATCATGATCGACGAATGCGCACGCGTCGAGGAAGGCACTAAGAAAGAGTGGGTTGTTTCGAATGATCCTTCCTTGTGGACTCGTTTGGTGATATCCCGCTGCCAGCGTGGCGATCTCGTCCGCGTAACCTTCGGACTGTGCTAGGCGGAACAAGTAGTTTTCAGCTCTAACCAGTTCCTGCTGAGTTAGCGACCCATTGACACGTTGTTCCTTTCTTGTGGACCGCTTCAGGTTCTGAACGTACCGGAGGACGTACGTTGTGCGACGAAGCAGAGGACTCCAGTGAGAGAAGTATTGTGGATCGATAACTGGTTTTGTTGTTGATTCGTGGAATAGCAAGTGTGGGCGCAGCTCTTCGTCGGTAGTTTTTCCGAAGCCTGGTGAGACAGGCCACTCCTGTTGTTCTCGCCAAAGGAATTCTGGCCCCCTGAACCAGCGACTTTATGCAGATAAATAAATCTGGAGTTCGTGCCCACTTTGTTCCATCATCTGCCACGTTCAGCTTCGTTGGAACCCACTGCCATTTACTAATCTCCGTCGACTCTAGGATCTCGCTGACCCGGAAGGCGACAAATTGGCTGTATCGCCGATGGTCAGATCCTAACCAGCAGAGCACGTCCTTGGAGTACGTCCAGAAAAACCGCTTCGAGACCTTGATGGACAGAGACGACAGTATAGTGTCTGCAAGCCGCGCACCAAGAAGAGCCGCTTGGAGCTCAGATCGTGGGATTGACAGAAACTTCAGTGGAGCTACCCTAGTTTTAGCTCCCGCCAAGGCACATTCGATCGTGTCTCCCTCATTGAATCGAAGGTAGACGACCGCTGCAAACCCATTCTCACTGGCGTCGACGAACGCATGCATCTCAATATCTGCTTCAACGGATGTCAAGGATCGGTAGCATCGGGGGAACCTCGACGGAACTCATCTGTGGAAACACTGCCAGCCATGTCAACCATTTTTCGAACTGCGTATCTTGAATCGGATCATCCCAGCCGATCGCTGTCCTCCAAATCTCCTGCTCGTATCGGGATGATACTTTGTAAGTGTAACGATCTGTCATGGTGTTCCACCACATCCCTAACACCTTCTCCGTTGTAGCTTCCTCACCGATGTTCAGGTTTTTCTCCTCCGTTGCTTCACCTTTAAGCGTTGCCTGAACCCTTTTGAAGTTCGAAATCCAGTTTCGTATCTCGAATCCGCCACGCTCATGAATTTCCTTCACCTCTTGCGCCAGTTTCACAGCTTCCTGTTCCGTTTCCGAGCTTACCAGCATGTCATCGACGTAGTGTCGCTTGATGATGGCGTCGACTGCTTCCGGGTGGTCCTGTTCAAAACGCTTCGCATTAGTGTTCTTGACGTGTTCGGCGATGCTCGGTGAACAGCAGACTCCGAAGGTCATTACCTGAACGACGTACAAGCTGGGTTCTATTTCGTTTTCCTCTAACCAGAAGAAGCGTTGGCAGTGTTGATCCTTATACCGCATCAGAATCTGATGGAACATCTCCCTGATATCCCCGCATACAGCCACCTTGAACTCTCTGAAGCAAATTAATACGGACAGAAGCGATGCCAGCTCATCAGGACCCTTTAGAAGGACCGAGTTGAGAGAAATGCCGTGAACCTTGGCTGCAGCATCCCATTCCATACGTATCTTTCCAGGTTTGTTAGGGTTTTCTACGACGAATATCGGAAGGTACCAGACTCCGTGGAGTTCTTCAGCGGTCAGTTTCCTAACATAACCCTTGCTGATGTGTTCCTGCATCTTCGTCTTCAGCGCGTCCGATTTTCCAGACACTTCCACCGCCGGATGGCCATCGCTTTACTGTCCGGGAGTCGGACATTATCGTACTTCCATAGAAGACCACATTCATAACGGTTATCTCCTAAGCGGGTTAGAGAATCCAACAGGGACTTGAAGAACCCAATTTTGATGCAGAGTCTAGTTCAGGAGCTGCCGTCGTACTATGCCATGGAGTGGGTGGACTACAAGCGACGCGCCCAGTCTGTCGACTAGGAAACATTCGGTGCATTAATGGAAGGTCTCGTAGAGAAGGCGTTGGAAGCAAGCTTCGAGAAGGCAGATGCAAAGGAGAAGGTTAAGAAGCGAGATAAACCACAAACGAAGGCTTTCGTTCACGTCACGGATGGAGATAGCGGCCGGTCTGGGAGTGTGATGTCAGCTGGGAAGAATTCGTCGCCCCAACCCCAGCGCCGCGAGTTGAAGTGTTCCGTGTGCCAACAGTCTGGGCATTACGGAAGGAACTGCCAGGAATTGCTCAAACAGAGTGTTGCAGAGCGGTGGAAAACGGTGACTCGGTTGAACCTCTGTCCACTCATGTCGTATAAGAGCTCGTTGCAAAGGTAGATGGTTGTCCGGAGAATCACAATGCCCTTCTTTATGCTGGACCAGTTGGATACTCGCGAACTCAGGTGCAGTGTAATAGTCATCGTCAGTCGAAATGTGCAGTTCTGTTTAGGATGGTTCCAGTGACGCTGTACAACGGCAAGAGAAGAGTCGATACTCTAGCACTCATCGATGAAGGATCTTCTGTTACCATGGTGGACAGTGAATTGGTAGGAACGTTGGGTGCCGATGGACCAGTGGAACCACTGCAGATGACTTGGACATCTCATTTGGGCACTCGATTCTCGAAATCTTTTATTAATAGAAAATTATAGAATACATTTATTTCAAAAGAGTTATATTAGATTTCGCTTCCATGGGGAATTCAGGCAAAGTAGACCTTTTTTGAGGTTTTGAACAAGAGGCATTAGAGTCTCATATTTGTTTCAAGCCAAGCAGGTGTAGTTTGATGTCATATTTTACGAATTTCTATAGTTTTCTATGCAGTTACCAAAATTTCTAGCAGTACAGGGACAATTTGGGTAAAATAGACGAAAAAGTAAGAGGTTGTATCCAAGACACGCTCGTAGATTTGACGTAGGATTACGAAAAGTAGTTTTGATGTCACAGCAAGAGTATAGTATGTATTAAATTGATTTATTAACTCGTTATGAGTGAAAAAGTTCGATAGGTTGAAATTAGGAAGCAATTTGAGAGTTCTATTTGTGAGGTGCTCTGTCGATGACCATGTAGTACAAGCCAATCCTGGACGATATGACTTGGATACAAGCTCTTAGTTAACTCTTTTGTCAGTCATTTTTGGTTTACAACAATGCTGTGGAAATTTGTCCTCGATGTTGTTGGAGA